GTTGTATCGCAGCAACACTACACACTGATGTTCCCTGGTTGTATCGCAGCAACACTACACACTGATGTTCCCTGGTTGTATCGCAGCAACACTACACACTGATGTTCCCTGGTTGTATCGCAGCAACACTACACACTGATGTTCCCTGGTTGTATCGCAGCAACACTACACACTGATGTTCCCTGGTTGTATCGCAGCAACACTACACACTGATGTTCCCTGGTTGTAACTCGCGCACACACTACACACTGATTGTTCCCTGGTTGTATCGCAGCAACACTACACACTGATGTTCCCTGGTTGTATCGCAGCAACACTACACACTGATGTTCCCTGGTTGTATCGCAGCAACACTACACACTGATGTTCCCTGGTTGTATCGCAGCAACACTACACACTGATGTTCCCTGGTTGTATCGCAGCAACACTACACACTGATGTTCCCTGGTTGTATCGCAGCAACACTACACACTGATGTTCCCTGGTTGTATCGCAGCAACACTACACACTGATGTTCCCTGGTTGTATCGCAGCAACACTACACACTGATGTTCCCTGGTTGTATCGCAGCAACACTACACACTGATGTTCCCTGGTTGTATCGCAGCAACACTACACACTGATGTTCCCTGGTTGTATCGCAGCAACACTACACACTGATGTTCCCTGGTTGTATCGCAGCGACACTACACACTGATGTTCCCTGGTTGTATCGCAGCAACACTACACACTGATGTTCCCTGGTTGTATCGCAGCAACACTACACACTGATGTTCCCTGGTTGTATCGCAGCAACACTACACACTGATGTTCCCTGGTTGTATCGCAGCAACACTACACACTGATGTTCCCTGGTTGTATCGCAGCAACACTACACACTGATGTTCCCTGGTTGTATCGCAGCAACACTACACACTGATGTTCCCTGGTTGTATCGCAGCAACACTACACACTGATGTTCCCTGGTTGTATCGCAGCGACACTACACACTGATGTTCCCTGGTTGTATCGCAGCAACACTACACACTGATGTTCCCTGGTTGTATCGCAGCAACACTACACACTGATGTTCCCTGGTTGTATCGCAGCAACACTACACACTGATGTTAGCGAAGCATGCTACTTATTCTGAAACTTTCACTCATCATTAAAAGGTAAAATGTTAAATATAAAAATATGTGTATAACTTTGTGTGTCCGGCTCCTTGTGTGTCTTCCTTCATGTGTATCTTCCTTCATGTGTGTGTGTGTGTTTTGCTCTTTGTGCGTCTCCTTTTCATGTGTGTGTCTTGGTTCATGTGTATCTTCCTTCATGTGTGTGTGTGTGTTTTGCTCTTTGTGCGTCTCCTTTTCATGTGTGTGTCTTGCTTCATGTGTATCTTCCTTCATGTGTGTTGCTCTTTGTGTATCTTCCTTCATGTGTGTGTGTGCTGCTCTGTGTGCGTCTCCTTCTCATGTGTGTGTGTGTGTTGCTCTGTGTGCGTCTCCTTCTCATGTGTGTGTGTGTTGCTCTGTGTGCGTCTCCTTCTCATGTGTGTGTGCTGCTCTGTGTGCGTCTCCTTCTCATGTGTGTGTGTATGTTGCTCTGTGTGCGTCTCCTTCTCATGTGTGTGTGTGTTGCTCTGTGTGTATCTTCCTTCATGTGTGTGTACGTTGCTCTGTGTGCGTCTCCTTCTCATGTGTGTGTGTGTTGCTCTGTGTGTATCTTCCTTCATGTGTGTGTACGTTGCTCTGTGTGCGTCTGCTTCTCATGTGTGTGTGTACGTTGCTCTGTGTGCGTCTCCTTCTCATGTGTGTGTATGTTGCTCTGTGTGCGTCTCCTTCTCATGTGTGTGTGTGTGTTGCTCTGTGTGCGTCTCCTTCTCATGTGTGTGTGTGTTGCTCTGTGTGCCTCTCCTTCTCATGTGTGTGTGTGTTGCTCTGTGTGCATCTCCTTCTCATGTGTGTGTGTGTGTTGCTCTGTGTGCGTCTCCCCCTCATGTGTGTGTACGTTGCTCTGTGTGCGTCTCCTTCTCATGTGTGTGTGTTTGCTCTGTGTGTATCTTTCTTCTCATGTGTGTGTGTGTTGCTCTGTGTGCATCTCCTTCTCATGTGTGTGTGTGTTGCTCTGTGTGCGTCTCCTTCTCATGTGTGTGTACGTTGCTCTGTGTGCGTCTCCTTCTCATGTGTGTGTGTGTTGCTCTGTGTGCGTCTCCTTCTCATGTGTGTGTGTCTTGCTCTGTGTGCATCTCCTTCTCATGTGTGTGTACGTTGCTCTGTGTGCGTCTCCTTCTCATGTGTGTGTGTGTTGCTCTGTGTGCGTCTCCTTCTCATGTGTGTGTATGTTGCTCTGTGTGCGTCTCCTTCTCATGTGTGTGTGTGTGTTGCTCTGTGTGCGTCTCCTTCTCATGTGTGTGTACGTTGCTCTGTGTGCGTCTCCTTCTCATGTGTGTGTGTACGTTGCTCTGTGTGCATCTCCTTCTCATGTGTGTGTGTGTGTTGCTCTGTGTGCGTCTCCCCCTCATGTGTGTGTGTACGTTGCTCTGTGTGCGTCTCCTTCTCATGTGTGTGTATGTTACTCTGTGTGCGTCTCCTTCTCATGTGTGTGTGTGTGTTGCTCTGTGTGCGTCTCCCCCTCATGTGTGTGTGTACGTTGCTCTGTGTGCGTCTCCTTCTCATGTGTGTGTACGTTGCTCTGTGTGCGTCTCCTTCTCATGTGTGTGTGTACGTTGCTCTGTGTGCGTCTCCTTCTCATGTGTGTGTGTGTGTTGCTCTGTGTGCGTCTCCTTCTCATGTGTGTGTGTGTGTTGCTCTGTGTGCGTCTCCTTCTCATGTGTGTGTACGTTGCTCTGTGTGCGTCTCCTTCTCATGTGTGTGTGTGTGTTGCTCTGTGTGCGTCTCCTTCTCATGTGTGTGTGTGTGTTGCTCTGTGTGCGTCTCCTTCTCATGTGTGTGTGTGTGTTGCTCTGTGTGCGTCTCTTCTCATGTGTGTGTGTACGTTGCTCTGTGTGCGTCTCCTTCTCATGTGTGTGTACGTTGCTCTGTGTGCGTCTCCTTCTCATGTGTGTATGCGTTGCTCTGTGTGCGTCTCCTTCTCAGTGTGTGTTTGTGTTGCTCTGTGTGCGTCTCCTTCTCATGTGTGTGTGTACGTTGCTCTGTGTGCGTCTCCTTCTCATGTGTGTGTACGTTGCTCTGTGTGCGTCTCCTTCTCATGTGTGTGTGTACGTTGCTCTGTGTGCGTCTCCTTCTCATGTGTGTGTGTGTGTTGCTCTGTGTGCGTCTCCTTCTCATGTGTGTGTGTGTGTTGCTCTGTGTGCGTCTCCTTCTCATGTGTGTGTACGTTGCTCTGTGTGCGTCTCCTTCTCATGTGTGTGTACGTTGCTCTGTGTGCGTCTCCTTCTCATGTGTGTGTGTGTGTTGCTCTGTGTGCGTCTCCTTCTCATGTGTGTGTGTGTGTTGCTCTGTGTGCGTCTCCTTCTCATGTGTGTGTGTGTGTTGCTCTGTGTGCGTCTCTCCCTCATGTGTGTGTGTACGTTGCTCTGTGTGCGTCTCCTTCTCATGTGTGTGTGTGTGTTGCTCTGTGTGCGTCTCCCCCTCATGTGTGTGTGTACGTTGCTCTGTGTGCGTCTCCTTCTCATGTGTGTGTACGTTGCTCTGTGTGCGTCTCCTTCTCATGTGTGTGTGTACGTTGCTCTGTGTGCGTCTCCTTCTCATGTGTGTGTGTGTGTTGCTCTGTGTGCGTCTCCTTCTCATGTGTGTGTGTGTGTTGCTCTGTGTGCGTCTCCTTCTCATGTGTGTGTACGTTGCTCTGTGTGCGTCTCCTTCTCATGTGTGTGTACGTTGCTCTGTGTGCGTCTCCTTCTCATGTGTGTGTGTGTGTTGCTCTGTGTGCGTCTCCCCCTCATGTGTGTGTGTACGTTGCTCTGTGTGCGTCTCCTTCTCATGTGTGTGTGTGTGTTGCTCTGTGTGCGTCTCCTTCTCATGTGTGTGTGTGTGTTGCTCTGTGTGCGTCTCCTTCTCATGTGTGTGTGTGTTGCTCTGTGTGCGTCTCCTTCTCATGTGTGTGTGTACGTTGCTCTGTGTGCGTCTCCTTCTCATGTGTGTGTGTGTACGTTGCTCTGTGTGCGTCTCCTTCTCATGTGTGTGTGTACGTTGCTCTGTGTGCGTCTCCTTCTCATGTGTGTGTGTGTGTTGCTCTGTGTGCGTCTCCTTCTCATGTGTGTGTACGTTGCTCTGTGTGCGTCTCCTTCTCATGTGTGTGTGTACGTTGCTCTGTGTGCGTCTCCTTCTCATGTGTGTGTGTGTGTTGCTCTGTGTGCGTCTCCTTCTCATGTGTGTGTACGTTGCTCTGTGTGCGTCTCCTTCTCATGTGTGTGTATGTTGCTCTGTGTGCGTCTCCTTCTCATGTGTGTGTTTGTGTTTCTCTGTGTGCGTCTCCTTCTCATGTGTGTGTACGTTGCTCTGTGTGCGTCTCCTTCTCATGTGTGTGTATGTTGCTCTGTGTGCGTCTCCTTCTCATGTGTGTGTTTGTGTTGCTCTGTGTGCGTCTCCTTCTCATGTGTGTGTACGTTGCTCTGTGTGCGTCTCCTTCTCATGTGTGTGTGTACGTTGCTCTGTGTGCGTCTCCTTCTCATGTGTGTGTGTGTGTTGCTCTGTGTGCGTCTCCTTCTCATGTGTGTGTACGTTGCTCTGTGTGCGTCTCCTTCTCATGTGTGTGTGTACGTTGCTCTGTGTGCGTCTCCTTCTCATGTGTGTGTGTGTGTTGCTCTGTGTGCGTCTCCTTCTCATGTGTGTGTACGTTGCTCTGTGTGCGTCTCCTTCTCATGTGTGTGTATGTTGCTCTGTGTGCGTCTCCTTCTCATGTGTGTGTTTGTGTTGCTCTGTGTGCGTCTCCTTCTCATGTGTGTGTACGTTGCTCTGTGTGCGTCTCCTTCTCATGTGTGTGTACGTTGCTCTGTGTGCGTCTCCTTCTCATGTGTGTGTGTGTTGCTCTGTGTGCGTCTCCTTCTCATGTGTGTGTGTGTGTGTTGCTCTGTGTGCGTCTGCAGGGCCGGTGTGTTATCACGGTGCATCTCAGTGAGGAGGAGCAGGCTCTTGCAGATGATAGACTTCAGTTCTTCCTGGTCTTCGGTGGAAGCACAAAGCGGCACCTGACCAGCACCGAGCGCGGCGGCCATGACACCCTGCAGGCCCTCTGTCCCGGTAACACACTTCCTCAAGTCGGTAACACACTTTTCTACATGTTATATCTTCTACCGGATTGAATGCTCTGGAAAACGGCAGCAGGTCCTAAGTGTCTCTGAAACAGTTTTTTGTTTGTTTGCTTTATACATTTTATTTTTCTTGCTTTTTTCTGCCTGAGATGTTGCTGCAGTTCAGTGTTCATGGTTTTACACTGGTCCAGACCAGAGCAGAGAGGATTCATAGTAACCAAACCAATTGAGCACCTGGTCTTTTAAATAATTTTACACACTTGTAACACGCACAACTCCTTACACTTTGCTTTTAGAGATGATTCATGGTCCAACAAGTGCATCAGATGAGAATCCATTGAGGCAATGCTAACCTTTTGAAAAATGCTAATGAACCATTTAGCATTTTACTTTGGACTAGAGCAGAGAGAATGCTCCAAACCAAGCGGCTACTCCACCTCTGCTGCTGTGACCCGTCCTGCTCCACCCAGAGGCTACTCCACCTCTGCTGCTGTGACCCGTCCTGCTCCACCCAGAGGCTACTCCACCTCTGCTGCTTTGACCTGTCCTGCTCCACCCAGAGGCTACTCCACCTCTGCTGCTGTGACCCGTCCTGCTCCACCCAGAGGCTACTCCACCTCTGCTGCTGTGACCCGTCCTGCTCCACCCAGAGGCTACTCCACCTCTGCTGCTGTGACCTGTCCTGCTCCACCCAGAGGCTAATCCTACCTCTGCTGCTGTGACCCGTCCTGCTCCACCCAGAGGCTACTCCACCTCTGCTGCTGTGACCCGTCCTGCTCCACCCAGAGGCTACTCCACCTCTGCTGCTGTGACCCGTCCTGCTCCACCCAGAGGCTACTCCACCTCTGCAGCTGTGACCCGTCCTGCTCCACCCAGAGGCTACTCCACCTCTGCAGTTGTGACCCGTCCTGCTCCACCCAGAGGCTACTCCACCTCTGCAGCTGTGACCCGTCCTGCTCCACCCAGAGGCTACTCCACCTCTGCAGCTGTGACCCGTCCTGCTCCACCCAGAGGCTACTCCACCTCTGCAGCTGTGACCCGTCCTGCTCCACCCAGAGGCTACTCCACCTCTGCTGCTGTGACCTGTCCTGCTCCACCCAAAGGCTACTTCACCTCTGCTGCTGTGACCTGTCCTGCTCCACCCAAAGGCTACTTCACCTCTGCTGCTGTGACCTGTCCTGCTCCACCTCTGCTGCTGTGACCTGTCCTGCTCCACCCAAAGGCTACTTCACCTCTGCTGCTGTGACCTGTCCTGCTCCACCTCTGCTGCTGTGACCCGTCCTGCTCCACCCAGAGGCTACTCCACCTCTGCTGCTGTGACCTGTCCTGCTCCACCCAAAGGCTACTTCACCTCTGCTGCTGTGACCTGTTCTGGGATTCTTTTGTCTCATAAAAACAGAAACTTTTTTAATTCAAGTGAATGCAATAGGCTTCCGTAAAAAACTATGTCAAAATCTAAACAATATCCAGGAAGCTAATGCCCTTTTACAAAACACCAACCAACTTTACAAATACAATGTGTAAAATTTATATCTGTGAAGTTTTGTAAATAAAGAAAAAAAAATCATTTAAAACCATTTAAATCCGTAAAGAATCATTGTAATTGTTTTCTTGCCTGTTTTTAATATGACTTTGGGGCGACAGTGGCTCAGTGTGTAGAGCTTTGGCCTTTGAGCCTGAAGGTTATGGGTTTCGAGCCCACCACAAGACCTACTTCACGACTCCCACTGATGACTGCTGTCGTTGTGTCCTCGGGCAAGACACTTAACCCCACTTTGTCTGAAGCCCCTGCTGAAAAGGGCCGGATCAGTGAGGGGCTGGTGCTCTGTGTATTCTACCGTAGGACAAAGGATACCGAAACTGATTAATATGTCCTAAATTCATTTATCAGATGAATATTTACAGATTATGCTAAATTAAATTATTACACACTTTGATTGACTTTGTTGTATTTTGTTTCATTCTTGTTGGTATTTTGTGTTGTTTTTCCAAAGCTATAGTTACTCACGTGTGTGTTGTGTTTGTTCCCCAGCCCATGACTGCTGTGAGGCGGTGCTGGTCACGCTCTGCTCCGTTAGCCCCGCCTCCGACCACGCCGTTGGTCATGTGACTCCGGTGGCCGAGCAACGCTTCTGTTTTGTCCAGGACTTGGCTTTTGACATGGCTCAGTTTCTTGTACGTATCTCTTTTATATCTAAATATTTAAACACAACTTGAGTAGAAATGTGTAAACACTTTGTCAACAACATTGTCAATACCGCTACATGTTCTTTACTACACCGACCACAGATGGGGTTGCCACGGAGACGCTGCGACAGTAAAACCTTTAAAATGTATATCGGTTTGTCCTTTTGTTTACATGAAAACGGCATTTTAGTTGAAAACCATAGACTGTAAATGTTAACAGACGTAGTGATGCCGTTCTCCGCCGTTGATACTAATGTGATATCACTTTCACCGTCTGTGCGCGGTTTCAAAAGGGCCGCCGGGGCTGGAGAATGTGATCAAAACACATTTGTGCATGTGTTAGCTGCACTAGCCCCATTCATTTAAAGAGTGCATTCAAAAGTCCACAGCGACTAAACTAGACTGGTCAAAAAAAATATACTCCCCTCAACAACAACAGCATCTGGATTGAAGCTTTGGACCAAGAGCCACTTTTGGACCAAGAACCACTTTTGGACCATCCTGTAAAGACGTTTTTGAGAGCAAAAGAAGATGTCATACAAAAGCATTGGGTAATTCTCTTTCCGGGTACACCCCCACCTCCAAGGAGTGAGACTCAGAGCACAACATTTTGGACATTTTTGAGTCGGGACCTGCCCCCAGTGCGGAAAACGCAAGCGCCTCACACAGCCATGTGAAGAAAAAGGTGTGGTTTCTCTGATGAGAAAAATAATACATTTCTTGCAAAAAATTAGAGACTGCGGCTTGAAATCAGGTGCGGTTTATAGTCCGGAAAAAAATATTAAGATTAAGAGTTATTTGCCCACAGTAAGGAAGTTTCAATGTTGCAGTGCACAGACAGGACAGTGTTAAGAGACACACGGAGACACACACATTATACACAATACAGTAAGTAGTAGCTATGTTTAGCTAGCTGTACATGCTAATAAGAAGCAGGTAAAAACAGTGTATATATATATATATATATTTTGAATATATATATATATTTGAATATATATATATATATATATATATATATATATAAGACATTCCATTTTGCAGTGCACAGACATCCATAGTGCTGTAGTCACCAGTGTGTTTCTGAACAGGTGAGCACTGCAGGGCGCTCGGACGGCCTGGAGGGGGCGCTGCTGTTGGACGAGTGTCACATTCCTCTGAGGGAGTGTGAACGTTTGGATGAAAGCCTGGCTCTGGCTCTTTACCACCTCGCTCTGCCCCCGGGATGGAGCTTACTGGGCATGAGACTGTCCACCGGCACAGGTCAGACCGGCACTACACCAATTTTGAAAACACAAAAACACTTTCCAGGCGCCACAAAACCACCGGATCCCTCTGGAGGCATTATGAAAACAAATGCTAATAATAATTGACAGCTGTGGAGAGTTTGCCGTTACCTGCAGCCATTGTTTTGGCAATTACCGGAGTGATGCATTACTTTCTGTCATAGATAATAGCGTGTGTTTAGACTTGACAAAAATCCAAGTTGTGTTTTGATAAAGCTGCCAAAGCTGTAGTTTGAAAAATCGGGAAGCATTGACGGACTTTGGCATTGAACTCAGCCGTCGTGTATCTGAAGCCAAAGTCTGTCTATACTTTCTGATTTTTCACAACGAGGAAGTATAGACTGACTTTTTTTTAAACCCAAAAAAAATCTGCTTTCTTTACCCCCCCACCCAACCCAAACAAACTCATAGATTCACTCATTCACACCAGCATTCTCACAACTAATCTGTAACTTATTAACTGTTCTTTTGGTATAGCCCTCATTATCCCAATCTTAACTCATTGACTGCTGCCGTTTTTGATGATTTCACTGATTCTCAAGACCCACAGAATATTATTTCCTCAGACTATGTTAGATATGAAACCAGATTCTGAGAGACTGGATTGTCTACTTTCATCAGCAAAAATAAGTTTGTTTCTAGCTATTTTTGTTCTCCTGTAATCCCCAGTGGAAAAGAGGGTCTCAGACAAATACGTCAATGGCAATCAATGATATTCCAAACTTTAGCATTATCCAAAATGAATCCATCACAAAATTAAAATCAACAAAAATAAAACTAGGAACAGAAAACAAAAGGTAGAATACAATAATAATAATAGCATGAGCAGCAGCACGGACTTTGGGATTGAACTGAGCTGTCGTGCGGAGGGCTGTGGAGGGCTGCGGAGGGCTGCGGAGGGCTGCGGAGGGCTGCGGAGGGCTGCGGAGGGCTGCGGAGGGCTGGGGAGGGCTGTGGAAGGCTGCGGAAGGCTGTGGAGGGCTGCGGAAGGCGTGGAGGGCTGCGGAGGGCTGGGGAGGGCTGCGGAAGGCTGCGGAGGGCTGCGGAGGGCTGCGGAGGGCTGGGGAGGGCTGCGGAAGGGCTGCGGAGGGCTGGGGAGGGCTGCGGAGGGCTGGGCAGGGCTGCTGGAAGGGCTGCGGAGGGCTGCGGAGGGCTGCGGAGGGGGGGCTGCGGAGGGGAGCGGAGGGCTGCGGAGGGCTGCGGAGGGCTGGGCAGGGCTGCGAGGGCTGGGGAGGGCTGCGGAGGGCTGGGCAGGGCTGCGGAGGGCTGCGGAGGGCTACGGAGGGCTGCGGAGGGCTGTGGAAGGCTGCGGAGGGCTGGGGAGGGCTGCGGAGGGCTGCGGAGGGCTGCGGAGGGCTGGGGAAGGCTGCAGAGGGCTGTGGAGGGCTGCGGAGGGCTGCGAGGGCTGAGGCTGCGAGCGCGGAGGGCTGTGGAGGGCTGCGGAGGGCTGGGGAGGGCTGGGGAAGGCTGCGGAGGGCTGGGCAGGGCTGGGGAAGGCTGCGGAGGGCTGGGCAGGGCTGCGGAGGGCTGCGGAGGGCTGCGGAGGGCTGCGGAGGGCTGGGGAGGGCTGCGGAGGGCTGCGGAGGGCTGCGGAGGGCTGCGGAGGGCTGCGGAGGGCTGCGGAGGGCTGTGGAGGGCTGGGGAGGGCTGCGGAGGGCTGCGGAGGGCTGTGGAGGGCTGTGGAGGGCTGCGGAGGGCTGCGGAGGGCTGCGGAGGGCTGGGGAGGGCTGCGGAGGGCTGCGGAGGGCTGCGGAGGGCTGTGGAGGGCTGTGGAGGGCTGCGGAGGGCTGGATCCCACTGCGGTGAGTGATGTGCGCTCTAATAGGCAGTGCTTCACAATATGTCACCACTTCAATACAAGTCGCTCAGCTGCTGTGAAACGGCGAGAAAGAGGAGGTCTGGGCTCGCCATTCATCAAAAACGTCAGGAGAACGATGGTATCACACCATGGGAGCAGGTGACGGAGGTGTATCTGTCTCATTCCTCACATGGTCCCTCACAAACCAGCTGCAGGGACTAAAATAGTACAAACGAGTCTTGGGTTATGCGATAAATTTGGTCCATGGAAGATGCTTTGTTAACTAAATATGTTTTTTTTTAAGTATTTCTGATTCTCATGCTTTGTTTGTGGTTTTGTATTTGAATCTGTAGCACTTTGAGGTTTCCTGGTTCAATATAAATAAAATGTATTATTATTGTTATCATGGACGAATCTGGGTGTTTAGTATTGTAGTTAAATGTCTAGTTTCTGAAAGTGGTTTTACAATTACTATTATATTATATTTTGATGAAAATGTCATATTCACTACAAAATCACAAATCATAATCTCTAGTGTTAGCTTTAGCATTAAATGTACACAAAATACAACAACTGAAACATTTTAATTCAATATGAGTGACTTCAAAAGAAATATAACGTGTTTGGAAATGTCAGACAAAAAGTTTTTATTTTATTTTATTTTCAAACTTTACCTTGACTTTTGTCTTGGACTTGAATCTGCTACATGCTAACGCCGCTACATGCTAACACCGCTACATGCTAACGCTGCTACATGCTAACACCGCTACAGGCTAACGCTGCTACTTGCTAACACCGCTACATGCTAACGCTGCTACATGCTAACACCGCTACATGCTAACACCGCTACATGCTAACGCTGCTACATGCTAACACCGCTACATGCTAACACCACTGCATGCTAACACCGCTACATGCTAACGCTGCTACATGCTAACACCGCTACATGCTAACCCTGCTACATGCTAACACCGCTACATGGCTAACACCGCTACATGCTAACACTGCTACATGCTAACACTGCTACATGCTAACACTGCTACATGGCTAACACTGCTACATGCTAACACTGCTACATGCTAACACTGCTACATGGCTAACACTGCTACATGCTAACACTGCTACATGGCTAACACTGCTACATGCTAACACTGCTACATGGCTAACACTGCTACATGCTAACACTACTACATGGCTAACACCGCTACATGGCTAACACTGCTACATGGCTAACACTGCTACATGCTAACACTGCTACATGCTAACACTACTACATGCTAACACTGCTACATGGCTAACACTGCTACATGCTAACACTGCTACATGCTAACACTGCTACATGCTAACACTGCTACATGCTAACACTGCTACATGCTAACACTGCTACATGCTAACACTGCTACATGGCTAACACCGCTACATGGCTAACACTGCTACATGCTAACACTGCTACATGCTAACACTGCTACATGCTAACACTGCTACATGGCTAACACTGCTACATGCTAACACTGCTACATGCTAACACTGCTACATGCTAACACCGCTACATGCTAACACTGCTACATGCTAACACTGCTACATGCTAACACTGCTACATGGCTAACACTGCTACATGCTAACACTGCTACATGCTAACACTGCTACATGCTAACACTGCTACATGCTAACACTGCTACATGCTAACACTGCTACATGCTAACACTGCTACATGGCTAACACCGCTACATGGCTAACACTGCTACATGCTAACACTGCTACATGCTAACACTGCTACATGCTAACACTGCTACATGCTAACACTGCTACATGGCTAACACTGCTACATGCTAACACTGCTACATGCTAACACCGCTACATGCTAACACCGCTACATGCTAACACTGCTACATGCTAACACCGCTACATGCTAACACTGCTACATGCTAACACTGCTACATGCTAACACTGCTACATGGCTAACACCGCTACATGGCTAACACTGCTACATGCTAACACTGCTACATGCTAACACTGCTACATGCTAACACTGCTACATGGCTAACACTGCTACATGCTAACACTGCTACATGGCTAACACTGCTACATGCTAACACTGCTACATGGCTAACACTGCTACATGGCTAACACCGCTACATGGCTAACACTGCTACATGCTAACACTGCTACATGCTAACACTGCTACATGCTAACACTGCTACATGGCTAACACTGCTACATGGCTAACACTGCTACATGCTAACACTGCTACATGGCTAACACTGCTGTCCCAACCTTTACAGTTTATGGTCCTGACCAGAGGACTACTGTGAAATGACAACCGTTGTACATGTTGTAGTTAGTGTTTTAGCCATGACCAAATCCATCTCATTTCTATGTTTTAATACAAAGCAGTGATTATCTGTGTTTTTTCTTCAGTCATGGACCCTCAGGAGACACTGCTGCACTTTTCGGCCCGACGTGGACTGTCTCAGGTGACTCAGTTCCTTCTACAACAGCCTGGAGCAAAAGAAGCTTTGGGATTAACCAACAAACAAGGCTTTACTCCTGCAGCCGTCGCAGCCCAGAAAGGCCACCACTGCGTCCATGAGCTCTTCATCAGGTGAGTATTTATATAAAAAGGTATTTGTTTTGTTTTTTTTATCTTTATTTGAATTGGGACAGTGCACATTAATCAACATGTGTTTTTTCAACGCGTAAATGTGCCAGAGTTAGCCATGTAAGCTAATTTTCCTCTGCAGTCCCATGGCAGGTTGATATCAAGACAGATAGAATATACAACACACAGAAACACACATCACAAAGACATAACAACACAGGGTAGCATGTAACACAGGGGTCTCCAACCTTTTGTTTTGGAGAGCTACTTTGATTAAACAGAAATGTCAGAGAGCTACCCCTTTTAGCAGTCGTAATACAATTGTAGGCTCTATAATAACTGCAGAAAGTCCTGGAGAAGACACATACATCATATACCATCGTACCGTACAGTATCCCTACATTAATTAAATAATTCACGGTTAAAATGGATATGTAAAGAATTCAGGATCATGTGCTATAGTCCCCTGTTGTAACATGTGGTTAAATTATGTAAAATGGGTAAATTAGAACAGATAAAAGATCAGAGGGACACAGTAAGGCATCAGAGGTTGTATACAAGAGGATTTTCTACTTCCGGGTGGATCATCAAGACTATTGGTCCTCCCAACTGTCAATCATTCTGGTGATACGTGCTCGTCCAATAAGAGCAGAGAGTATTGTTCAAAAAGTGGAGTGGGCGGTTCTTTTCTAAAATTTGAGAAAATCCTCCTATATACTTTAATCAGGGCATGGACTTTCACGCGTTAATAAAGATTAATTGATTACACAAAAATTAGTGCGTTAAAAAAATTGACGCATTTTAAATCGTATATTTTTTTTCCCACCGCGGAACGTTTCTCCCCGGAGGAGCTTCTGTGTGTAGCCACGTTTCTGTAAGTACTTGAAGGCTGGTACTCCCGCTGATGGCTGGTAGCTCGTCAGTCTTATTGGAGAGGGACATTACCGGTGATCACGGCACCGCGGGTCTGGATCTCTTTCGCCCTCGTACCTTCCATCCCGCGCCGCAGCCTCTGGGTGTTTTCTGTAGAATCTCAGCAGGAATAGTGTCTTTGTCCCCGGGAGGGACCTCCGCTCTCCGCAGCGCCAGCAGCTGGTCCTGGGTGTAAACAATGGGAGCGCGTGGGCACATCTCCGCTCACAGGTATAATCCTAAGTGGGCTAGAAAGTAAGAGAAGTGGGAAGGAGGCGATGGAACTTGCAGCTGGCTCCCGCCCGCGCCTGCGTAATATGTATTATTTCTCACTGTTATCAGGTCAAATATTTATATGCGATTAATTAATTACAAAGCCTCTAATTAATTAGATTATTTTATTTTATTGAGTCCCAGCCCTAACTTTAATATATATGTATTTATTTTATCATAATAATCAATAATCAGTATTCACTAAAATAGTAAAAGTCATTACAGAGTTAAAGATGAAACAGTATTTGACTAAATACAATTATATCTTTGTATCTAAACTGAATAGCTCTGAGTTTCCAAGCAGTACAATCTGTTTGCCTGCGGTTCTTTTGTCTTTTCAATACTTTCATGAAACATTTACTCACTTTAGTCTCAGCGTGTGACCTCAGCCTTAGACCTTGCCTCTAACTAAAGCATACACCCAACATTACGCAACAGTAAAACCCAGGGAGGTGTTTTTAGTGTCTGCGTCTTTTTAAACCTCTCAAATGTGAAGAGTTCATGTTACCATTTTGTAAGTGGCATTTTTGACACTGGTAAATATACGTGTTCATGGACAAACAACACAACAGTAGAATAAGATTGATTGTGTCATGTGGGCAGTGAGGGGAAGGGAGAGCTCAGATCACGTCACTGCTAACTCTGTTTTGATTCAGTTCTGTGCAGTGTTGGCCAATCACACCAGAGCACATTCTAAGTGTTTGTTTCACTACGACAGGGCTGAGAAGGACATAGAGGCGTGCAGCCAGACTGAGCCTGTGCAGCTGGTCTCTGCAGACGCCCAGTTAGTTTGCCACCTCCCTCGGCTGAACACCCACACTCTCACTCTGAGCATCGTACCAGGCCGTGACCCTCCAAACCTACAGCGGGGCGTGGACCAGCTGCAGCACTTGATATGTCATCTCCGTGCCAAGGTGAGTCACCCTAACCCTCTGGCCCGCTATCTCCGCTGGCTTCATCTGAGCTCCGGCTGTAACATTGTTTGCCTTTTCACTGCCCTCCCTATTTAACCTTGATAGTTTGTACAAGCCGTGGAACACCTTATGTAATCAGTAAGCTAGTAATTGATAAGAAAGCTAATGTTTTTCATCCTCCCTTCATCCTGTAGGGAGTTTCTTCGCTCGAGCTGCCGTCTGAGTCTCTGCACACCGCGGCTGAATGTTGTGAGGATATAGAGCCTGAGATAACCTCGGTGGAGCAACAACACACTGCAGCAGCACCAGAGCGCCTGCAAAAAAGAAAACAAGAAGAGAGTGGGAATGAAAACTGTGTTTCGAGGAACAGCCAAAGCAGTGCTGAGTGTGTACGTGATGAGAATGGGAACTCAGAAACAGACTGGAGCTCACGTGCATGGACCCCAGAGGTAAGAAAAGAGGCCGAGGAACCTGCCCCGAGCCCTTCACCGAGCTGGGTGTGCCCTGCTTCACATTCTGGGAGTGATTACCAGAGAGCGGAGGAAGAGGGAAGGCAGTGGCCGGTCTGTTCCACTCTCAGTGTGTGTGATAGCAGTGGAGCACATGAGGAGACAGGGTGTGTGGGAACAGGGCCTGGAGCAGCTGGTGCCAAACAAGCAGAAGACACTGATACTACAGACACTGGGATCCAGGAAGCACAGGAGGCCTCAGAGGGGAGAGAGAGAGCTGGGCCTGAAACCGTGGGCTGTCCCGACCCAACACATGGTGAGGACGAGGCAAAGTCCACTGAACAAATAGCGTCTAGTGAACTCCCAGTGTCTGTCATGGGTCAATCACCTTCTACTGACTGCTCTGATATGTCGAATACGTCTGACTGTGAAGTAAGCTGCAGCCACAAAGAAGAAGACATCGTTGAATCCAGTGTAAGAGAAGACAAGCAAGAAGACACCAAAGAGTTAACCAACTGTAGTAACGACTCTGGTGATGTCATCCCAGCGTGCGATTGTGCTTTTCCATCTTTCCTGATAGAGGGCCTCCACCACGAAGGGGAACCTCCACCCCACACAAACAGCCTTGAACAAAACCAGGAAACAGCTGGAGTGGATTATGCACGAGAGCAGCAGTGGGGCTTGTCTCCAGAAACACAGGGTCATTCTGGGAACTGTAGTGAGATCTCCACGGCCGAGGAGTACGTTCAATGCACAGAGGATACGTCTGCGGAGGTTTCTCATAACGTTAAAGACACTGGCTCTCCCATTGAAGAACTAAACAACCTGGAAGAACCGTCTGGACTGACTTCACCTGCGGATCAGCCGGAAATGATCCATGTCATATCTAGCGACGATGACATTAGTTTTCAGTCTGTGGGATCAACGACGGACATTTTTGATCCTACGGTCCAAGCCCAACCTGCCGAACTGTCTTCTACGGGAGTTGGGACTGGAACATCATTACTAGAGAAGTCTTGTGAGACAGATTTACTCTCGGTGGATGTAGAGCTGCCTTCAGATTCTCCCATTGTCAATCCACGGTCCGTTCCCGCCTGCAGCCAAACTGGCTCTGCGCCCGGACGTCTACTTTCGCCCCATTCCCTCACAATGGAGCCTTTGATTGTTGAGGCCAACGGAGGCGAACTGTCCTCTGTCCAGTTCAGAGAGGAACTGTCAGAAGAGTTGGAGAGCGGTGTCCCAACAGCGATACAAGTGGGTGATAGTGAAAGTGCGTGTAACCCCTCAGACAAATGTGTGTTTACAGAGAATTCACCATCGGAGTTGGAACCCGCCTCTCGGGCTCGAATCAAATCTAATTCTGACGTGAAGTCTTTGCAAAACTGTGAAACTACTACAAATGAAAGCAACGCTAATCTGGACAATGAGGAAACGCCGCATTCAGGGACCACTACTGCATTATTTACAGGTCAAGCCACTGTTTTCTCTGCTGATCTGGACGAGATGACGACGAGGACCTGCAGAGAGACCAGTGGATCTCAGTCTGAAGGTCTTGTCTGGTCCCGGTCTTCAAGCTACACGGATGAAGTCTCAAAAGCCCCGAACAGCCCAGAGCAAGGTGGGACACGGCTGATTCATTTGATTCTGTATGTTTTTGTCTCCGTGTTTACATACTTCACCAGGGTTTATCACAGTCGAAAACGGTCAAAAACATGAGCAAATATATAAATCACATTAGTGAAACATCCCATTCACTTGTTATCACCTAAAACCATCAAGCAAAGAAGGAAATATGGGTAGATTAGTGTGAAAAATGATAAAAAATGAGGTAATAAATGCTTGAATCTAGTGTTTTTTAGCTTAATTTTAGTTTATTCTGGTTGAGTTAAAGCCAGATTCTCCAAAGGGACAAAGCCATTTAGACTTATTTCTATAATTTTGTCTTTATTTTATCATTCCAAGGGAGACTTTTCTTGTGTATTTTTAAAACGGTATCATTTTGCTTTTGTCCCATTGGAAAGTCTGGTTTTAAAGCTCAGTCAAAATGTGCTCAAATGAAGATACATTTTGCCAAATATTAGCTTTTTTGACTTGTTTTTCATCATTTTCTGCAGTGTATTTGCAACCAAGACATAAAACAACAAACCTGCACTGGAAAAAATACCTTAAAAATATATGAAAATAAGTAAAATACTGCTTAAAATAATAAAAATGATCTGAAAATAGGGGGCGACAGTAGCTCAGTTGGTAGAGCATTGGCCTTCAAGCCTGAAGGTCGTGGGTTCAATTCCCACCTCTACACCTTCTCCACCGACTCCCACTGATGACTGCTGTCGTTGTGTCCTTGGGCAAGACACTTAACCCCACTTTGCCCAAAGCCCCCACTGAAAGATCAAGGCTATGCTCACACTCAGAGAGCAGCCGTCCTCCTGTGGACTCACCACCTGCAGAGGGTCAGTGAGGGGCTGGTGCTATGAGACTTGGGTGGCATCTCTGACGGCCACCCCCCTGACCCAGAGATGGATTAAAGGGGGCGGCACGGTGGCTGAGTGGATAGCACTCTCGCCTCTCAGCAAGAAGGTCCTGGGTTCAAATCCCGGTTGGACCAGGGCCTTTCTGAGTGGAGTTTGCATGTTCTCCCCGTGTCTGCGTAGGTTTCCTCCGGGTGCTCCGGTTTCCCCTACCACTAAAAATATGTACAATAGGTCTGGCATGTGCCTCCTGTACTGGCACCCCTGCTCCCAAAAATAACAATTGTAAACCGCTTTGAGACTCCGATGTGCAGTGAAAAGGCGGTATATAAATAAAGATTACTTTACTTACTTTACTTTAAAATGGATGGATGGATGGATCTGAAAATAGATTTCCCAAAATATTAAAATAACACTTGATCCTAGTTTAAAAACATGTCAAGTAATATTTACTTATTTCTTAAACATTTTTGATAAATATTAATCTCATAATAATCTCAAACTTATTTTATCTAAACAAGAAAAGTCTGGAAATAGATAAAACATTCTTCACTGCTCAGGCTTTTAGAAAGATTATGAAGTGTCTTAAAATTAGTAAAATAATCTTATGACAAACTACATAAAAAAAACAAAAAGCATCATTCATGATATTTTTAGTGAATAAATCTCACCAAGATGTTACTTTATTTAGTGTATTCATGCCGTAAAAACACTTCTCATGGATCTTTGCAAAAGGAAGCGTTTCCGAAGCGTTTGCAGTTTTCAGAGATAGCTGCGAAAAGCAAACGCAGGAAAACAGTTTAACAGGGCCCTTTAATGATGACAGATTAGGGCCCTTTAATGATGACAGATTATGGCCCTTTAATGATGACAGATTAGGGCCCTTTAATAATGACAGATTAGGGCCCTTTAATGATGACAGATTAGGGCCCTTTAATGATGACAGATTATGGCCCTTTAATGATGACAGATTAGGGCCCTTTAATGATGACAGATTAGAGCCCTTTAATGATGACAGATTAGAGCCCTTTAATGATGACAGATTAGGGCCCTTTAATGATGACAGACTAGGGCCCTTTAATGATGACAGATTAGGGCCCTTAAATGATGACAGATTTGGACCCTTTAATAATGACAGATTAGGGCCCTTTAATGATGACAGATTAGGGCCCATTAATGATGACAGATTAGGGCCCTTTAATGATGACAGATTAGGGCCCTTTAATGATGACAGATTAGGGCCCTTTAATGATGACAGATTAGGGCCCTTTAATGACGACAGATTAGGGCCCTTTAATGATGACTAAACTTTACAATCTTACATATTACTGCTTTAAAAACCTTTTTGTTGTGTATTTTCCCTTGAGCTAAAACTGTGGATTGCACGAGGAAAGAAAAAATGATCAGAATTGCACATTAAACAAACACATTAAAATAAGTGAAATACTGCTTAAAATAGAACATCTGGAAATATGACTTAATAACAACAATTACTATTATTATTATTATCTCATGGTGCCTTTCAAGACACCCAGGGATGTCCTACAATATATTAAAAAACATCACAGACTAAATATTAAAAGTACAGATTATAAAACATTAAAAAATTACAGAATATTGACGTTAAGATTTTAAAGTATTTCAAGTATTATTTATTTATTTAAACTTTTTTGAGAAATATTTTTTTAAACTACAGCATCACAAATAATTCATAATATAATACATAATTTATCAAGAAAAGTTCATAAAAAATACTACTCAAACTTTTTTCTCTAAAATGATGAAGTATTATAATAATATGACAAACTACGTTCAAGTAACAGAAATAATCATCATTGAAGTTGTTTTTAGTGAATAAATCTGACCAATATTTTACTTTTTCCAGTGGAGGCGGATGACACTTCTGTGGAGCACACGTCTATGGTGAGTCCCACATGTTTCTTTCATAAACAGCAGCTAAAATGACTTTTTATGACTTTAGGGGTGTTGAAATATGTGTTTATAAAATACAAAGTCGTCCGCAGCTCCATGGGCGCTCTGAGTGTGTGAATAATTGCTGACTGACAGATTCCTCTGCACTGGTGATGCTTATTCCGGGCTGTGGTCTGAGTCCGTGGTTTCTTCTGAATCCCAGACGTAGATTAGGCCCAGAGCAAACACACACATGCAGGAGCCGGGGGTGGCCACCAGAGGGCGCTGTAGTCTCAGATGGTTTCTCCCCTGGACAGATTGTATTTATACTAACCACGGTGGTTTGTGTACAGCATGAAAACATCCCACTCATTTATTTTCATCTAAAACAATTAAGCAAAGAAGAAACTATGTGTAGATTTGTGTGAAAATTGATAAAATGTGAGGTAATAAATGCTTGAAAGTGTTTTTTATCTTAATCTGAGGGAATTCTGAGGGAGACTTTTCTTGTATCTTTTTAAAAACAAAAATAATTTGCTTTCTCCTGTTTGCAAATCTTGTTTTAACGCCCAAACTACGATAATGATTGCCAAATTTTAGCCTTTTTTGACTGGTTTTTCATCACTTTTTGCAGTGTATGCAATCATGTGACTAAAGACAGAACAACAAACCTGCACTGGAGGAAATCCCTTAAAATATATGAAAAAAAGGAAAAAATAATGATCACAGAACGCAGAAGGATAGAGACAAATTAAAGTAACATGTAACAGTTATTTTAGTAAAAGTAAACATTTTAGTTTTGTAGATGTATGTGTTTTTGAACGGGAAGATTTAACCTAAACATATGATAGAAGTGGATTTTGTAAAAACGTGAACTTTTGTTTAAGTTTTTTTGTTGTTGAAGCTATACAGGAGGATTTTCTACTTCTGGGTGGATCATCAAAGACTATTGGTCCTCCCAACTGTCAATCATTCTGGTGATACGTGCTTGTCCAATAAGACCAAAGAGTTATGTTCAAAAAGTGGAGAGGGCGGTTCTTTCCTAAACATTTTTTACCTAAATAATAATAATAATAATAATAATAATGCATTGTTTTATACAGCGCTTTTACTATCGCTTCTCAGCAAGAAGGTCCTGGGTTCGAATCCCGGTCGGAGCAGGGCATTTCTGCGTGGTGTTTGCATGTTCTCCCTGTGTCTGTGTAGGTTTCCTCCAGGTGCTTCGGTTTCCCCTACCACTAAAAACATGTACAATCGGTCTGAATGTAATGAGTGAGTGAATGGATGGTGTTTGGTCGGAGGCTTTGATGGTCCAGTGTGTTCTGGACTCGCTTCCGTCATGACTGTGTGGAGAGAATGGAACAATAACGGAACTCTGAACATTGTAAAGTGCTTTGGGAGACTTTGGTCTGTAAAATGCGCTATAAATAAACATTACTTGCTCACTTACTTACGGTGGTGATAACTACTGTTGCCACATCTGCCCCGGGGCACACTGACAGGAGCGAGGCAACCAGTCTGTGCCATCGGCCCATTAAAAGACAAATATGAGCACATCATTGATAGATAATTATATAAATCTACACATTTGGACTGTATTTAATAATAACAAAACATGTGTATTTATAGGAACATTGATGGGATTATTCACCAGAAAAATAGGTTTTTTATGTTCTGTTTCCACGGAGACGGTAACATTTTAGATTTTATCTCAGATTGTACTTTTGTTCAATCAATCCATTTTATTTATAGAGCCCTTTACAATGCTCACTTGCTCTACAAGAAAATCACATGAAATGCATTAAAACATACATGCATTCAATCAATAAAACAGCTAAGCATTAAATGAATAAAGAAAAATGGGTCTCTCTCTGGTCTCTCTCTGGTCTCTCTCTCTGGTCTCTCTCTGGTCTCTCTCTGGTCTCTCTCTGGTCTCTCTCTGGTGTCTCTCTCTGGTCTCTCTCTGGTCTCTCTCTGGTCTCTCTCTGGTCTCTCTCTGGTCTCTCTCTGGTCTCTCTCTCTGGTCTCTCTCTGGTGTCTCTCTGGTCTCTCTCTGGTGTCTCTCTCTGGTCTCTCTCTGGTCTCTCTCTGGTTTCTCTCTGGTCTCTCTCTCTGGTCTCTCTCTGGTCTCTCTCTGGTCTCTCTCTGGTTTCTCTCTGGTCTCTCTCTCTGGTCTCTCGCTGGTGTCTCTCTGGTCTCTCTCTGGTCTCTCTCTGGTGTCTCTCTGGTCTCTCTCTGGTCTCTCTCTCTGGTCTCTCTCTGGTCTCTCCATGGTCTCTCTCTCAGGTCTCTCTCTCTGGTCTCTCTCTGGTGTCTCCTTCTGGTCTCTCTCTGGTGTCTCTCTCTGGTCTCTCTCGGGTCTCTCTCGAGTCTCTCTCTGGTCTCTCTGATCTCTCTCTGGTATCTTTCTGGTCTCTCTGGTCTCTCTCTGGTCTCTCTCTGGTCTCTCTCTCTGGTCTCTCTCTGGTCTCTCTCTGGTCTCTCTCTGGTCTCTCTGGTCTCTCTCTGGTCTCTCTCTGATCTCTCTCTGGTCGCTCTCTGGTCTCTCTCTCTGGTTTCTCTCTGGTCTCTCTCTGGTCTCTGTAGTTTCACTTTCCATTCCCACTGCTGTTGTTACAGAACAATGTTGGTTCTTTCCCATCTTTGACCTGAGGAGGATGTTGTTGAGGAAGTGGTTCGGCTGCTGGGGGTCGCAGGTGTCTTGTTGTAAAGTTCCACTGCCCCCTACTGGCTGCAAGCTACAACTACATTGTTTTCTGTTATGGTTTAGACCTTTGAATACAGAGTCGTTTTTTTGCTCATTTTTTTTTGTTTATTTACAAGAAGTAGGAGCACTAATAACATTGTTTTTTATGTTTAATTTTGATAGACATGTGATAGAGATCCCCAATGAGGTAGATTTTAGTGGAGGTTAATTTAAAGTAGATTTAGTGACTCAAAAAGCCATCCACCAAATGGTTAAGGAGACCACTAACTCATTGACTGCTGTCGTTTTTGATGATTTCATCGATTCTCAAGGCTCACAGAATATTATTTCCTCGGACTACGTGAAATATGAAACCAGATTCTGAAAGACTGGATTGTCTACTTTCAGCAGCAAAAATAAGTTTGTTTCTAGCTATTTCTGTTGTCTTGTAATCCCCAGTGGAAAAGAGGGTCTCAGTCAAATACGTCAATGACTGTAAATGAGTTAAAGGGTTAAATATAGGCTCAGTGGAGAGAGGTTCGTCATTTCACACCAGAGCGAGGCTGTAAACTTTGACACCTCTGTTGGGACTGGACTTTGGTGTGACTCTGCTGCTCTGTGTTTGCAGTCATTTACATACAAGAAGAGATTTACATTACTCCACTGTCAGATCAGATCAGATAATATAGACTTTACTGATCTCACACTGGTCTCTCTCTCTGGTCTCTCTCTGGTCTCTCTCTGGTCTCTCTGCTCTCTCTCTGGTCTCTCTCTGGTCTCTCTCTGGTATCTCTCTGGTATCTCTCTGGTCTCTCTCTTGTCTCTCTCTGGTCTCTCTCTGGTATCTCTCTGGTATCTCTCTGGTCTCTCTCTGGTCTCTCTCTGGTCTCTCTCTTGTCTCTCTCTCTGGACTCTCTCTGGTCTCTCTCTGGTTTCTCTCTGGTGTCTCTCTGGTATCTCTCTGGTGTCTCTCTGGTCTCTCTGTCTGGTAAGATAGACTTTATTGATCTCACACTGTAGAAATGTACATTCACTCAGATTGTGTAAAAGACAGAAGTGTGCAACATGTTAAAGGTTAAAAATATAGTCTGTGCAGGATATAATTATGTACAATAACAAAGAAAGAGGCAATAGCAGCGCAAGTTTTTTCAGTCCTAGATTTTTTTCAGGTTCTAAAAAAACTGATCTAGTGGTATGCGTTGATGGTAATGACTGCACTGTAAAAAATAAAAAATAAAAAATAAATAAATGCTTAAATCCAGTGTTTTTATCTTCATTTGAGCACATTTTGACAATCTATAAACAAGATTTGTCATTGGGACATCCAAAAAGGTCTTGTTTTAAAAAGATACAAGAAAATTCAAGAAATGTCTTTCTTGGAATTATAATTATATTGCAACAGTCCTTTTAAATAAGACCGAAATGGCTTGTTCCATCGGCAAATCTTGTTTTAACACAGTCAGAATAAACTCAAATGGAGATAAAACAGACTTGATTCAAGCATTTATTTCCGTATATTTTGTCATTTTTTGCAGTGTGGATCACTTGGCCGCACAGGCTTCGGACTGGGGGGGGTAAAGGGTATCCAGGGCCCAAGGCAGGGAAGGGTCCTCTAAAGTGTGTCTATATATAGTATATGTATTTAGCATTATCGTAGTAGGGGCCCATTGAGTATGTTTGTACCCGGGGCCCAGAATTTGTTGCTACGCCCCTGCTTAGCCGGACGGGTTAGTGAGAGGCAGAGGTAGAAATGTGACAAAGAGGGAGGGTAGGAAGGCGGGAGGGTGGAGGGTTTTGGTGGGCGGGAGACTAGGAGGGTGGAAGGGGACGGAGGGGATGGAGCTCAGAGCTGCAGAGTGGGCCGGGTCTGCTCCACGGAAGCTCCTGTGGCCAGATGTGAAAGCCCAAACCTATAGCCTACAGCCTCTCTCCATTCACCCCTCTTCCCTCTGGACTTACCACTTTTCCATCCTCCGGAGACAATGTACGAACGGCACAAACGTAGATACAGTCTTTGTGCCAAGAGCGAGAGAGACGTAGACGTAGTTTTGATAAAGGTAAGGCTTCGAACTCTTTCCGTGCTGGTTTTTATGTTGTGTTCTGAGAGTTCCAAGTGTGTTAACCTTCACACAGTCTAAAAAACAAGCTTCAGAAAGGTTTGTGTGTGTCTCATCGTACCCGGTTTGCAGCAGTGCACTCTGGGAGATAATTGCACGCCTGTGTCCAGAGCGGCCTTACAAACACACTGCTGATTATTTAGTGAGAAGGTGTAGTTGATGGTTTCAGGTTGCACCGTTTCTCCAGAACTCTCCAGACTTCAAGTTTA